TCTGTGCATCCCTGAATTGATCTGTATTTACGCCTCATCATTTGAAAGAGCTCATTGGCCAGATGAGACTCGTCTGCAGTAATGGAATGAGCATGTGCCAATGTTCACTGTTTATAAATCTCCTCAGCCGAGTTCATTTCAATACCAATGATCTGTGATGGTGTATTTACAACACGAGCTATTTTCCTTCTCTCATCAACAGTAGTGCTTCCGTACCAAACAGTAATAGAGAGTTTCAGAACACTTTCAATGTCGGCACGATAAAACATAATGAGAACATCAGTGCTAACACAAAATTTTCTCAAACTGCAGAGAGAATGCAATTGCTACGGAGCCTTTTTTACACAGTAATCAACGTGTTCAGCCCACCCCAAGGAGTTAGAGATAAAAATACCTCAAAATTTGAATGACGGCGTCCTCTCCACTTCGGTCCCATTGATAAAAAGCGACAGAACTTCATGATTCCCAGACCCAAAATCAATAACCATCTCATTGGTCTTGGCAACACTTAGTTCTAATTTATTATCGGAGCACCATTTCACTAAAATGTTCACTTGCTTCCTCGTTACCGTGTGAGAAATGCCCAGCAACAGTTGTATCGTCCGCAAACTTAGTGACCACACAATCATTAAAGGATGATATGCAGTCATGCGTGAATAGAGACTAAAGCTGCAGTGACAGTACACATCCTTGCGATGCACCAATATTAATAACAAGTGGCTTGGACAAGTTCTTGCCAATTCGGACAACCTGCAGTCTGTCTAAAAGAAAGCTAAAAATCCATTGACAAACGTTGGAATATGCACCTAACTGTTTCAGTTTAAAAATCAGTTTGGATGGTAAAATAGTGTTGAAAGTGGAACTCAAATCTGCAAACAGCATTCTGGCATAATTGGGAGATCAAATGTCCAAGGGTTGAAGTACACAGTGGAGAGTCAAACTCACTGCATCCTCAACAGAACGATTGTTTCAATAGGCAAATTGATATGAGTCAAAACACTTCGGAATAACTGTTTTTAAAAACTGGAGTACTACTCGTTCAAGCAGTTTCATTAGATTAGACGTCATAGCCACAGGCCTATTGTCATTCATACATGTAACTGGAATCTGTTTCAGGATTGGTACGATTTGAGACTTGTTTAGGTTGCGTGGAATGACACAAGTCCGCAAAGACCAGTTATAGAGAAAAGTTGCATCACCGGAAAGTTTATCCGTCCACAGTCTTAGGAGCTTATTGGAGATGCCATCTGGACCTGTTGCTTTTCTCACATTTAGAGATTTTATGCGCATCTGGTGTCTGTCTCGTCAATAATTAAAGACTGCCTATCCGTAGTTGGGAACTCTGGAGGAGGTTCTATAGGGTGATAGTCGAAAGTAGCAAAGAACTCATTGAGTTCATCAGGAAGCTTCAGATCATTTGAAGCTGTAGGTTTGGGTCTACTTTTGTAGGGAGCAATTTTCCAAACACAGCTCCATACCTGTTTTGTGTCACTGTCTTGCAGCTCTGACTCCAACCTGATCTTATAGTCTTTTTTGCATCTTCGATGGCTCTATGGAGTTCATATTTAACTTTTTTTGTAGGCACTTTCATCCTGCTGCTGCCATGCATCTTGCTTACTTCTCAACTTTGCTTTAATCTTACCTCCGAACCATGGTTTGTCCTTGCCATAAATGTTAATTGTCTTCCTGGGAATACAGGATCTTTCACAAAAAGTTACATAACCAGTAATGGCCTCAGTGCTGCCATGAATATCATCAGGGTCATACAACAGGTCCCTATCAGTACAAGCAAAACAACATTGTAATTCAGCGATAGCCAGCTCACTCCAAGTAGGAACAGTTTTAATGATAGGCTTAGTTTGCTTCAAATTCTGTTAATATGATGGAACAAGATGGCTCCTAAATTTTCTGTGTACATTTACTGAACATGGAAACTTTGCTTTACGTAAAAGAAACATCTAAAGGACATGATGATAATGACTTGAAAGTTAAGAACAATTTTACTTTCAGAGGACACAGAAACTTTGCTTTACATAAAAGAAACATTTAAAGGACTGATGATAATGATTTTACTTTCAGAGGAGCTACTGTCAGCATATGTGTATTGCGTGAATGGTTGGCTATGTAGACCAGCTACTGAGTACCTGGATCTGCATCATTCATAGGCACATGTGTAATGCGAGAATGGGTGGCTGTGTCGACCAGCCACTGAGTACATGGAGGCAATATGGAAAACGCTGATGTGGAAACTCTTGCTGGTCATCACTACAAAGGTAAAGATTTTTACCTTGTTATAAAATGAAAGTGAAAAGTACACATGCCAGTAGATTAATTTTTGCCACTTAACTTACAGAAATCTTCATTACATTGTTTTGTTTGCTTTCAATTGATGGTTCCTGACACATCTATCAAAGCTTCATGTTAGAAAGGGATACTACCAGGACCATAGGGCATTTTTGAGAGATGACTGAAGGAAAACTTGCAAACCTTTTTGTTATTTCGAGATTTGGCTTCTACTGACAACTACCTTGAAGATGAGATATGGAAGATGGTCATGCCTTGAAGAAAATCCTCATACATGTATTTCAGTGTTCCTTCTTTTTCACTTGATTTTTTGCAATGGAAATGTTTGCCCCAAATCCTCATTCAGAAAAGAATGTGAGGCAGGTTGCCCCCTATTTCAATGGGCCGGGTGGGGAATGGATTTGTGGGCAACTGGTAATCGCTTCAGGGAATTTTGCGTGAATGTTGTTATATTGTTATATTGTGTTCATTGTTGTGACGTTGCTCTGTATTATTCAAACGACTTGAAGTCAACAACTACTTTGGCTGTATATCGAAATTACATGTAGGCTGCTATATCTATATCAAGTCAAAATTTGTGGCAGAAATCCTATAATTATAATTACAATTAAAATTTTAGATATGTGGACAAGGATTCCGAAATTCAGAGAAGCAAGTGTACATGTATCACAAAGGATCAAACTTAAGAAATGATTAACACACAAAAATAACTTTGTAATTGTTGACTATGAACTTAGCAACAGCTTTTCATAAAATTTACAAAAAACACTTGAACATATATATATGCACAGGTTGAAAGTTGCATTTGTAAAATGTGTAACTTTTTGTCTCTTAATATTTAATTGTCATGGGCTGTAAAAAGTGGTTGGAAGATTATTTAGGTTCACGGCGCCGGTGCTTTTATTTGGTCCGTGACATGTAATCCATGACAAGAAGCTTATTGGAATTTGTTTGTTTGGACAGAAACTCACCCACGACTGTACCTTTCACAGTGTGCCACGGACTCCATGGGCGAGTCACTTCCAGGGCAGCTCCTTGAAAGAACTGATCATCAGTTACATTGGTATGGTAAGGATAATGCTTGAAGTCCAAGTGAATCATATCAAATAATGCTTGGATAGACCACAGTTGTACTGGGTTTGTGAGAGGTTTTGGGAACTAGGTGATTTACTTTTACTGTATAGATTGGTTAATTCCACTTTTCACTTAAAATCGAGCACCCGAAAAGTCACAATTATTACCTGTGATTTATTCAGTAGTAAAGAGCCTGCATTTGGCACACTCGTACAGGCTTTCTTGAATATTTAAATCCAGTAACAAT